ATTTAACTTAAGGTGGAGATTGTTTGGATTGACTCAGGTCCCATAAAAGATATGGATATAAATTTATTCAAGATAGGATTGACTAGATATTACTTGATGGTTAAGAAGATTTGTAATGGAAGAATTTTAAGATGAAAGGGATTCTTGATAGGCAAGTTAGCATACTTATAAATAGTGAGAATCTTTATAAGGTTAGGAATGAAAAAATACGTAAGAAAGTTATAGGATTTTTTTAGATAAGCACCTTATAAGACTAGATAAGATTGAGAAGATCCTTATAGATGTTATATTTGAGTGGGCTAGAGGACAATAAAAAGGTCTATATAGATATATTAAGCCATATGAGTATATATTAGTTTGGATTGAGAATACTTCATAAGACTAGAAGAGAATGAAAGGGTTCATGGTATTGATTGTGAGAATTGATTGATATTATTGTGTGTTTGTAATTCTCTACAATTAATGCATCTTTTTTCTCTTTTGTAGACATATGCTGATTAGGTTGAGCTACGTTAAATTACCGTCTATTGTGCGATTGATTAATTATTTAATTATGCTTTCACATATTTGGATGTTTAATTGATTGAGAGTTTTTTAGTCTAATAACTGAAATTAAAGTTGTCGTAATCCTAACAAATTGGACAAACATTATGATGAACATAATTAGTTGTGATGAAATTTGTGCAGAATTTTTAATTGGGGATAATTTTGTAAAGGATTAAATAAATTATAATCTAAAATATTGATATAATTATTTGTGGCAGAAAATTATGATAGAATTAGCAATAATAATTTCACTTGTTGGAGTTGACAAAGAATTGCGATTGAAAAAAGCGTCACTAATTTGTGATGGAAATGAACAAAATTATGATATTATTATCAAAGGAGTATGGATAACACAAAAATTCCATCACAATTCTCTCACTGTTACTTGTTTGTGACAGATTGGGCTTTTTGTGACGAATTTTTCTATCTCAGCGACAGCAATTTCATGTAGCGATTTCGCATAAAAGTAAAAAGATGCATCTTGTTATTAATTGTGAAGGTTATTTTTTTTATTCTTCAAAATCATTATTTTTTTATATCCAAATATACTTTAACATGTTAGCTTCACATAAAATTAATTTTAATAAAATCTTAATAAAAAATTTTAAAAATAATATTGATAAGACTTTTTACATAATAAAATATTCCTCCTAAGAATGATAACAGTTCAAATAAATTTGGTTCAGTTTTTTAAATAATGTATAATATTATTAAATTTTAAAATTCAATTTAAATCTGAAACGATATTTTTTTGAAACGGATCTGATTTGAATTAAATTTTATCATTTTATTTGGTTTGATTTTTTTATACAATTGTCATCTTGTCTACTCCTATTTAATAATGTCCTCATCATGATTGTCACTTTGCCTATTCTCTTTCTCGAAGGATTTGGCGTAGTTTGCTACCTTGTCTATTCCATTTTCGTGACATATTCATCAAGGCTGCTATCTTATTTACTCCATTTTTGAGGATTTGCCATGGTCAAATTATGTTATCATGCCTACTTTGACATTTATTTATATGGCAAGCGCCATCCTACCTACCTTTTTTTTTTTTTTTTGGAGGTTTTAGTATAGTGCAACTTCAATACTTACTGACCTTGTGCTTGATCTGACATTTTTCCATATCTAATCTTGTGATGTTATAGTCACGAATATCATCTTGTCTAATCTCCTTTCGTGACGTCTTCATCACGATTGTCACTTTATCTACTCCCTTTTAAAGGATTTGGCATGGTTAGACTTTGATATTATGTCTATCTCGGCTCTTATTTACCTGGTTAGATTGGCTCCTCCTGCCTACCCTTGTTGGGGCACTTGACATGCAGTTGGATTTATTAAAGATTAATTCTGATACCATTTATCACATGATTATTAATATCTCTACAAACTTGACTTATTGTAAGTGTGCAACGTCAACGCTTATAAACTCGTCGACTTTTTTTTTTTGTTTCTATTCAATGCAAGATTGAAACACTTTGTTTGCTTTCTTAAAACCATGACAAATGCATGCCATACACATTGGGGTTGGAACAGCGTTTCAAGTAGTTGGTTTTTGAATATGGTTTAGCATTCTAAATGAAGACAAGTTTTCCACGAAAATTATTCCATACATCAAAAGTCATGATCAACGTGCGATCAGCATTGCCATTGAGGACAAGTTTTCCAACGAAAATTATTCTAAGCATCAAAAGTCATGGTCAACGTGTGATCAATTTTTTTCCTTGGCAACTTAAAAGAAGAAATGTAGGGTAATCTGCATGAATAGATAGGTTATACCCTAAACGTCTAGTAATGACTTTCTCAAGTTTAAACTGAAAAAGCAGTGTATTCCTCGTCCACATGATTAAGCTTACTTTGACTTTGAACCTCAATTACAAAAAAAAAAAAGACAAAACAAACAAAATGATCAAGTATATAATTTTGAAAGGAGAGTCATTTGACTTGAGAGTAAGGGGAAACATGGGTGCACACATAAGCCATGACCATTGAGTCTCATAAACAACTTGAGAGAGAGGGAAAAAGGATAACTGGTGCAACTACTCTAATTTTCTTTCAACTAGCAATAATCAAAGAGCCACCTACTTCATTAAATTAAGTGATTAATAAGATTAAGATATCTTTTATATATATATATATAAGATCACAAGATTTACTGTTTTAATAACTTAACTTGATGAAGCATTATTTAGATCAGATAATTTGTGTATTTGTATGGCGTATATTTACAATAAAAAATTATCTTGTTATAATTCATGTCAACAAACAAAATGCAATTTTTTTTATTTTGCTAAATCCATATATCATTTTTGTCAATTTTAAACCATATTTTTTTTAAATATTTTTTCTTTTCATTTGTATATCCTGTTATTATATTTTGTTTAAAATTACAAAGTCTAGCATTAACTTTTAGCTAATATAATTCATAGTAAAATAATGACTTTTAAGGGCAAGCTACTACGATTTTCACTTTTACACGGATTTTATCTGCCATGTTCTTTTAAGCATAAGCTTCTAGCAAGCTAGTGTAATTTTTAGCAAAATAATGATTTTTTGTTTTTGTATATTATTATAATATAATTTTTAATATATTTAAATAGATTTAGATATAAAATAATTATTTTATCTTATAAAAGTTTAAAATATATAAAAAACTAATAAAAATAATAATTCAATTCGGTTCGATTTTTTCAAACTTTCAATTTTTGATTCGAAATCTGATCTCAGTTTAATATATATATATATATATATTTAATATATGCATTTAATTTGAACAAAATAAAAAAATAAATTGAACACTACAATTTTAAAACGATTTTCAAATTTTCAAATTATTTTCTCACCCATAATTCCTTCTCCTTGTCCTCTCTCTCTCTCTCTCTCTCTCTCTATATATATATATATATATATATATATATATACATTTTAGATGTCCACAACTATAACTCTTTATCTTTTTTTTTTTCCTTTTTAGGTGTTCAAAATAATTTCTTTTAACACCTAAAACTCTTACTTTTTTATATCTCATGTTAATTTATTGTAATTTTCTTTGGTTTTCCAGATTAAAAGTCATTAAACCTCAAAGTATTGTACAAAAAATTAAAATTCTATCATAAATTAAATATACTAAAATCAAAACATTTTTTTTAACTTTTATAGAAAAATTTAAAAAATGAAACATATCACTCACCTTCAAAATATTTTGTAAAGTGCACACATAAAGTTCACACTTATAAATGATAGATTTTAGTACAATTTTTTTTATTATAATTGAATAATTATAAGATTGTAATAAAAATATTAAAATTTACTCATTAATAATATGATAGCTTATGGTAATGATAGTGTATAGAGTTTATGCACCATTCTCATTGGACTCATAATTCTAATTACTTGGGTTCAAATTCTAATAGCCTTAAGTATGTATAAAAGATATATGGTGAATATTAAGAGTTAATATTTGATGCATTAATAGTATATAAATGTTATACATTATCAATCAATTATAAGGTGATGCCTTAGTAATGAAAAAAACTAAAAGTATTCAAATACTTAAAAGTAAGGGTTTATATTTGATGTACTGTTAGTATATAAATTTTATATACTGTCAGTGATCAGATGATATCACTTTATTAATAAATAAATCTTTAAAAAATATATTAATTTTTTTATATTTATTTTAAAGACTAATAGTTACTCATTAATAAAATAGTATCATCTTATTTACTGATAATATATAACTTTTATATATTGATAATATATTTAATATAAACTGTAAAAATAAAGTCCAATAAATTTATTTAAGTTTAATTAATTACTAAAATTAATTATATTTAAAAAGCTGACTAGTTTTAGGTTTACTCATTAACGACGTATTACTTTTACACTATCAATGCATTAAATATTAACTCTAAAATTAAACTACTTAAATATTTGATAAAGATTTATATTTAATACATAATCAATACAGCATAATGAAGCATTGATACACCATAAATTCTCACATTATCGTTAACAATTTTAAAATTTTAGAATTTTTAAAAGTAAATATTTAATTATATTAAAACAAAATAATGGTGTGATGATTTATGATGTAATAATAATACATAAGACCTAAACACTAACCGTACATCTACTGTGGATCATTCTTAGTTGCTTTATATTCTTTATAAGTACAAGTACAATAAAAAAAACAGTACAGGCACAACCACGCGCCCCAATCACTTCCTCCGGCGCTTTTATAAAGGGCATCCTTGCTCACATAATTTTGCACCTCACGCCCACAATAAGTCCTTTCTACCGTCCTAACTGAGTTCTCAATCCTTTTTCGTTTATAATAGTACGTCTGCTTTGTTTTGTTTCATCTTATATTCGCTTATTATGTGGAAAAAACAGATTGAATGATAAGAAATATATTCATGCGAATTCTTCTCATAACCAGTTTTCCTTTTTCCTTCTGTGTTTTTTAACTGTCTAGACTACATGCATGTAGTGTTTTTCATTGCAGTTTAAATTTTCCAAGTCATGATAAACTTGTTTTAATCCTTTCCTCTGGCTTTCTTATTAGTTTGAATAACTGTAGATTTGTGAGCATGCATTCATGCATGCCTTGTCTCATTATTTGTTATCTAATATCTATCTCTTAAATTGAAGAAGCAAAACAAAAAAAAAAAAGAAAAAAAAAATGTGGAAACTGAAGATAGCAGAAGATGGTCCATGGCTGAGGACAGTTAACAATCACATTGGAAGACAGCATTGGGAATTCGATCCAAACGCAGGAACTCCAGAAGAACGAGCCCAAGTGGAGAGGCTTCGTCTTGAATTTAACAAGAATCGATTTCGACTCAAACAAAGTTCTGATCTCTTCATGAGAATGCAGGTAACTAATGCTTCTTTCATCTAAACCTCTATTCTCTTTGGAATAACCAAGGCAACAAAGTAAAATGATTCTGGTTAACTTTATCATTCCTATACTTCTGTATTATTTGTTTTATTTTTATTTTTTATTTTTTTCGTTTATTAGACGGCACGGTCGGACATCAAAGGTTAGGTATAATTAGCATAGCTGTTTGTTTCTTTGATTTTCTTGTCAAAATAAAAAAATATTATCTAACTTCACGTGCATTTATTATCTAATTATAATCAGATACATACATACATACATATATATATATATGATAGAGTACATATAGTAGAAATGAAAATCAAATAAACAAACAAACCAAAGAAAATAAATATATAATTAAATAAACTCTGTACAACGTTAGACTCTAGTTTGGAACCTTAAAATTGTAAGGTTTCCTTCTGACCATTCAAACAAATTAAGGCTCTTTGACAAATTCAATTTTTGTGTTAGGGATACAAAATCGCTTTCATTTTGAATAGTCTTTCATTAGTTTGCTATAAATTCTTGTTCCAAAAATTAAAAATTTTATGCATTCTTGGGCTGACCATTGTGAGTTTAAGAGGGATGAAAAAAAAATTACTTTGGAAACTGGTTATATGCAAACAGGAATAACCAAGCTCTTCGAGTCATGACAACCTAAGATACCTTGAATAAGTGAAATTTCAATTTAAGGCCCCTGGCCGGTTTCCTTGTTGACCACAATCCACAAGTGTCTAAAACAGGCTCTGACCAGTTCGGTACATTTAAAATGTTTTTGAGTATAATTTTTTTTCTCAGCCAATAGTAGAATTTTATTAAATTGAAGAAGTCAATACATAAACAGAGGAAAAAGTTTTAAGTACAAAATAGAGTACTTAAAATTATTCACTTATAGCCAAGCATGAAGAAAAACAGAACAATCATCTGAATTTACGAAATAGTTAGTCTCCCTTTAAATGTGAACATACTCCACCACCCCCAATAACTTCTGTTAGTCAACCTATCTCATCAAAGATCGTTCATTGTTTCCATGAAAGAAAGATGCAAGATATCCTTGAAAGACACAATCTGCTTCATCCAGTGTTTTTATTCCTCTCAGGTCCCACACTAGATTGTTCTTTGTTTGTCCTCACTGCACTTTTGATCGCAATGTCCAGCAACTTCTTCGATACTTCATTTTCCATTCAAAAACTATCACCTATAGAAAATTCCATTCCCTTTAATAGATATTTTACTAACTCGGCAACTATACATTCCTTGTCTACTGCCACAAAGAAAGGTCTAGGAATAAGTCCACAAACTCTTCCATTTGAATGAACTCCTTTAAATCAGCAATGCCAATGCCATCAAAAGTGGACCGCCTCCTCTCATCTAAACACCTAACGGTAATAAAATCGCCAGCCACACACTTATTTCCTCCCATTTCATGTTTCAGCACAATCAGTTCCAAGGAGAACAGAATGTCTTTTTATGGAAGTTTGTCTTTGAAAAGTGTAGTATGTTGCAATTGAAATACCAAATCTTCGTTGGAAATTAAGCGTTCTCCTATGCACGACTGAATAAAAATTTGGGGATAATGGAGAGCATAATGATAGAAAATATATACAAATAGGCTAATTGTCATAAGAGCTGTCCACAAGGGAAATGGCATTATTTGCAATAGAGGATCCAGAGAGGCTGCAAATACCAGCACAAAATGCATTAGTTTGTAGTTATATTCTAAGAATTCCTGCTATTATTACCAAACAATATTTTTTTTCTCTGCATTCACTTCTTTTCTCACAACTTATCTCAATCCAAACACAATGGAAATTTGTTTTTTTCTTCAATTTATGCATGATTTAATTTTAAAGTTGATTATCAAAATTTACCATTCTACTATATATATTAGGAGTTTCAAATTTACTACTCTTATCTTTTTTGTGAACAAAACACTTTCTGCTTTTAGTGTTGGTTACAAATTAACCAGTAGCCTGAGATGTATAGAATACAAAAAAAAAAAAAAAAAAAAAAGGGAAAAAATTTGAGAAAGAAAATAATTTTTGATATTTTTCTTTACAAAAACGATTTAAAATGTTTGTGCAAGTATTAAAAATGGTTTAAAATGTTTAAAAACTCTATTTGATGACATTTGGGTTTTAATATATTTATACCATTAATTTATCTTGTTGCCATCTTTAAAAAACCATTTAAAAAAAAAAATTCTCCTGATCAATAAGAGCTAACGTAATCAATTTTTAATGCATATCCTATTTTCTTTCAAGTGCTGATAAAATTGCATTAAAAATAGGGTAGAGTAACTAGGTTTCGCCAAAGAATTAAAAGTAGCCTAGTGAATTTAGAGCTTCCTTTTTTTTTTTTTTTGAAATTAAAAATTTAGAGTTTTTTGATATAATAAAATAGTAAATTTGACCATTATACTTAATTTTATTATAAGCAGCTATGAAGCAAATTAAGAATAAGATCCAGCATTTGATCCCCAATTCTCCCACAAGCACCAACAATAATAAGCTTGCTCAAACAATAATTTTTGTATTCTCTAAAAAAAAAAAAAAAAAAACCCAAGAATTTTAATAAAGCCCTTTGTCTTTCTTGACTGAAAAAACAAAGGCCCTTTATATCTTCACCTCCAATAACGGCAAGTTGGGAATCTCGGCATCAAAGTAATTCACCTATGACGACCTTTCTTCGGTACGATTTTTTTTTCTTTTTAAAGATTCAGAAAAGAAAAGGAATAAATAATAAGATATGCAAATGCAGGCGTAGTGAAAGAATAATCAGAAGTAGATAAACGAGACGTAGTCATTTATGCTTTGGTCTCTTAAATAATATTTTTTGTTCTCTTTTGCTTGACTTTAGTGCTCAATATGAGAGTCGAATCTTTGACTATTACTGATGTGAGATCCTTTCCCCCAAAATTCAAATTAAGTGTATCAACAACAACGAATAATATTTCATAGTGGACACGGTTTGATAATTTTTTTATCAATAGATGACACTATTTGTGTAATATTATACCGATCCCAAAGAAAGAATGATATCCACTCCGTTAACTAAATTTCGTTATTGAGAAGAAAGAGCCCCTAATGTTAATAATCAAATATTGAATTAGAGATTTTTTTTTTCTTTTTTAAAATATTTTTTCAAACGACAAATTATAAGGACAAATGGCTAAATCAATAAAGCAAATAATATCTCATGGTTGGAATAGCCCAATAAAGTAGATAAAAAGATTAAGAAAATTCATTAAACTAAATTTAATAATCATTTATATTTTTTTGTAATTAATTAAATTCTCAAATATCTACTTTATTAATTTAATTCTTATTAGAAGAAAATTGTTTAATTATTTTTTTCAATTGAATGCTTATTGAGTAAAAATAAATGTTTAAGAGTTTAATTGAATGAAAATAAATATTTAAAGATTTAATTTATTCAAAATAGAGAATTCAAGACTTCATTAATTATAATAAAATATTAGAAATTTAATGATTATTAATTTTTTATTTTAGGATTTTTTTTATCCTTTTGTAGTAAAAGTAATATGAAAAAATAATTGTTAAATTAAACTTGCGGGTTTTCATGATCAGTTTGAAATTTTCACGCATTATTATTTCTCAAGCATACGCTGCATTGCATGTAAAATTTGTGAATTGTGTTTGCAGCTTACCAAAGAAAATCCATGCGGGCCACTTCCTCCACCGGTGCAAGTCGACGATAAACAAGTCGTGACAGAGGAAGCAATAACAATTACTCTGAGAAGGGCTATCATTTTCTATTCATCTCTTCAGGCCCATGATGGGCACTGGCCTGCTGAAACTGCTGGGCCTTTGTTTTTCCTTCCTCCTTTGGTATTTGCAGCTACTAGGACTCTAGCAGTTCTTTTAGTCCTTTTTGCTTTCACTAGTATTTGTTGTTTAATTTTGTGGTATGGAAAACATGTAGGTAATGGCTCTATATGTTACTGGGGACCTCAATGCAGTATTATCTCCTGAACATCAAAAGGAAATCATTCGCTATATCAATAATCATCAGGTACAGTATTCCGAATAATATGAAACTTATAAACCAATTGCTTATAGCGTGGGAATAACCATGATTCTCAACTAGGTACAGTAAACACGCACATCCTTTTTTTTTCTTCGTCTTTTTCTTGAACAAAGTAATAAAAGAGCAGATCATGGACTTCATGTAGAGGTTGGGTGTTTTTGCATTGCAGAATGAAGATGGAGGTTGGGGACTACACATTGAAGGTCACAGCACAATGTTTGGAACAGCATTAAGCTATATTGCTTTGAGGCTGCTGGGAGAGGGGCCTGAAGACGGTGAGAACATGGCCGTGGCTAGAGGTAGAAAGTGGATACTTGACCATGGTGGTCTGGTTGGAATTCCATCTTGGGGAAAGTTCTGGGTCACGGTATGTTTGGCCATCATAACTCGTTAATCAGTCTATCAGAAATATTAATTCGACTTAAATTTCAACTGAAGTTTACCACGAAGTAATTTACAAGATTACAGGTTTTAAATGCATGATTAAATACTCTATTCAAAGGTATACATGCGTGGAATGCAGGTACTTGGAGTGTACGAGTGGGCTGGTTGCAATCCTTTGCCTCCAGAATTCTGGCTTCTACCTAAATTCTTACCTATCCATCCAGGTTTTCAAGTCACACTTATTTAATTCTTGATTTAATAACACCAGTATGCTATTGATCCGGGAAATGAAAAGCCATATTGATGAAACGCAGGCAAAATGTTATGCTACTGTCGATTAGTTTACATGCCAATGTCATACTTGTATGGGAAGAGGTTTGTTGGTCCAATCACTGGTTTGATTAAACAACTGAGGCAAGAGCTATACAATCAACCTTACCATGAAATAAACTGGAATACAGCTCGAAACACTGTTGCCAAGGTTCTTTACATTCAAGGAATATGATAACTTTTACTAAATGTTATTGATATCAATCCACAGATGTAGCTAAATGATAAACTCATCAAGGTTTTGTTTCAGGAGGACCTTTACTATCCACATCCTCTTGTTCAAGATCTAACATGGGGAATTCTCTACCATGTTGCCGAGCCATTATTAACGCGCTGGCCCTTCTCTATGCTAAGAGATAAGGCAGTAAAAGTTGCGATTCAACATGTACATTATGAAGACGAGAACAGCAGATACTTCTGCATTGGATGTGTAGAAAAGGTAGGAATGGAATCCAAGTAATGTTTTGCTTTCTCCTATCTTAATTAAACTACTTATAAGTGCCCACTTCAAATTCAGGTATTATGTCTAATAGCCTGTTGGGTTGAAGATCCTAACTCCAAAGCATATAAATATCACTTAGCAAGATTGCCAGATTACTATTGGATTGCAGAAGATGGCTTGAAAATGCAGGTTAGAGATCAATCCATGTTTTTTATTCAATGTGTGCATCAATCAGTCCAAGCAGGACGGATCTTGTTATTGACATTCTAGAAACTTGTGATATATGTTAAGAATCTTTTGTTGATTAAACGTTTCTTACTTGCAAGCAATTCAAAAGATACCTATGTTAAAACAATATTAATACCAGTTCGCTTTACATTACAACGTGTAGACTTTTGGTTGTCAAATGTGGGATGCAGCTTTTGCTATTCAGGCAATCATGTCAGGTAATCTAAGTGATGAATACGGCCCAACTCTTCGTAAGGCACATGACTTCGTAAAAGCTTCACAGGTTAACTCTTTAGTTGGCAATGTTAGTGACCATCTGAACCCTGAAATGTAGATTAATCAACTAAATGATGTTATCTTGAAAGGTACGAGAAAACCCTTCTGGCAACTTCTCGGCTATGTACAGACACATATCAAAAGGTGCGTGGACTTTCTCCACCCAAGATCATGGATGGCAAGTCTCTGATTGCACTGCAGAAGGGTTAAAGGTATAATACTCAAACTCCATCAGATACACTAGTAATTCCACGTTTTCTGGATTTTTTCAAAGATGAATTTATAAGTATTGGCAATTTCTTATCTTCTACAGTGTGCACTATTGTTTTCACAAATGTCAAATGACCTTGTTGGACAAAAAATGGAAACAGAGCGGTTCTATGATGCTGTCAATGTCATTCTTTCCCTACAAGTAAGAACCCACTGTTAAGGGCGTTTCACTTAAGATACAAATCATGAACAGCAAACTCGGAACATAGATAATGCCTTTCTTTGTTAGAATCCAGTCCTAATAATGCACATTTTTTAATCTCTAATACAGAGCAACAATGGTGGTTTCCCAGCCTGGGAGCCTCAAAGAGCATATAGTTGGCTGGAGGTAATTCATTAGACACCATTTACCCCGGCCCCTTCATTTTGCGCATCTTTGAAAATCATACCATATAGTAATAAATTTCTGACAAGAACTTTTCTTCTTTTAATAGAAGTTCAATCCTACTGAGTTCTTTGAAGACACTCTAATAGAAAGAGAGTAAGCATTCTCCAATGCAATTTTTTGGCCATAGTATTAGTATTTTACTCTAACATCCATACTTTCTTCATTCTAGGTATGTAGAATGTACTTCTTCAGCAATTCAAGCCCTTGCACTCTTTAGAAAACTGCATCCTAAGCATCGGAGGGTTGACATAGATCATTCCATTGCAAGGGGAGCTCAGTACATTGAAGAGATACAAAATCAAGATGGTTCATGGTAAAGTATATCTTATATTGTTGGTTTTATCTATAATCAATTATTTTGGAGTGCAGAATTATTTCTCTATTTTCATTTTTAGCTACAGATTAAATTGACTATAACACTGCATCAGTATCATTCAAAAGGGAACAATCATATATATGATAGTCTGATCACACAGGTATGGTTGCTGGGGAATTTGCTACACCTATGGTACATGGTTTGCCGTGGAAGGGCTGGCAGCCTGTGGCAGAAACTACCACAACAGTCGCGTTTTGCGCAAAGCTTGTGAATTTTTATTATCAAAACAGCTGCCAAATGGTGGATGGGGGGAGAGTTACCTTTCTAGCCAAAACAAGGCATGAACAATCTTTGCTCTTTTTTATATATAAAATCTTCAACAGAACAAAATGGGTGCCTAAATGAATACTATGATTTTTGTGATACATATATTGAACATATCATTATTGATTGATTAGCACATTACTTCTAGTTCTCACTTCTCACCTCATTTTTGTACATTTTTCATGGTAGCAGGTATATACCAATTTGCAAGGCAACCGTGCAAATTTGGTCCAGACAGCGTGGGCTTTGTTATCCCTCATTGATGCTGGACAGGTAAGTCTAAAGTTCCCTCTTCAGTTGGAATTTTAACCATTCAAACATTCATTATTCAATTTAAAATTAGGATGAAGTCTCTTCATCTCTTGCACACAACAAATTAAATGATTAGATCTGCAACCAGAATCTGTAATCTTACAATAGTTTTTCTTGCCGAATTCTCATACTTTCACTGGAAGCCCATGCACGAATCTATATCCTGAGTATTGTTCTGTTGCTTGTAGGGTGATGTTGATCCTACACCCATTCATCGTGGAATAAAAGTCCTGATTAATTCACAGATGGAAGATGGTGACTTCCCTCAACAGGTAATAATCCAGAAAGAAAAATCTCGTTATATAGCTATATTCTCTAGTCTCAAATACAAATGTCTAAGGAATAATGATTATTTTACTACAGGAAATTACAGGAGTATTTATGAGGAACTGTACGCTGAATTACTCCTCATTCCGAAACATCTTCCCCATTTGGGCGCTTGGAGAATATCGCAGGCGCATTCTATCTGCATAAATCCCTGCATCCTGAGCAATAGGATGATAATCCAAGATTATCAATAAAATTGAGGACAACTGGGCCACGCTGTTTGTTCCTCTGTTGCAAGTATGTCAATCACTATATATATATATATATATATATATATATATAAATATATATATATATAGGTTTTATTCTTCTCTTTTAAATTGTAAAATGTTTCATGTGAAGCAGTTTCTTGGAATAAGTCAAGTCTATCCCTCGGTGTGAAAAGTGTCCAAAATGTCTATAAACCATACTGTAATATAGATACGTAAAAATTATATGTGCCAGAGTGAGTATAAAGAAATATATGGTGTTGTTTGCAAAGTTTTCCTTTTGTGTGTATCAGTCTTCTGTATTTTCTTTTAAGCACATTAAGCATTTTAAGTCTCAGTGGAATTCAGATTATGCCACAACTCAAAAGAAACGTAGAATCCCAAAACCAGAAGCATCATTCATCTTAAACAAAAAGTATTACATTTAGCACTTTCTTACCTGTTTCAGAAGGTCTCAAAAGTCATTCACAGCTTTCCTTTATTTGTTTCAAACAGAGCCTAAACCTCTATACTATGCTTCTATATCACACATTCCAAGGTTTCATTCTCCCTCTTCTTTCTACTTTCGTCTATTGCTTCATATTTTATGGTGATGTAATCATTTGTCTCTTAAGTGCTACTGAAAATCAACAAGTTATAACTTCAAACTAAAAATTGAATGACTAATAGAATGCCAAAAAAAAAAAAAAAGATAAATGATTATATCAAACTATGACACACAAATAATGGTTTATTAGTTTTAGTTAGATTGACTCAGTAAAAGAGAAACGGTAACATTTTACAGGTTTCTCACAATACAATATAACAGGACATGTTTGTCTGCAATATGGAGACTTCCGAAACTGCTGACACTTCTCTGATCGAATTCCGAGAACTCAAAGCTTTCAAGTGTATATTGAAATATTGCATGTTTTACTAGCATTTTCTTTTCTGAATGATGGTGGCTGAGTCAAATCAGTTTGAATAATACTCGGTCTCTCTTTCTTAACCCGACTTCTTTTCCATTACTTAATAACTACATTGAGAAAAGATGTAACGAGTGATACACAAGAGAGAGCACAAAAAACGAAGATTGAAAGATTGGCCTAACGTTACCGGGTATTCAATGATTGACCATAGGGTCTCCATCTTTCTTCCTGGTACTGCTCCAATTCGGGTGGTGCTTGAAAATCCACCGCCATCCTATGAAACTTTTTCTACTCTTTTTGATTCCTCTTTCATTCACTGTAATCCTACATGAACCACCATTGCTAAAGGCCCCATCTCCAACCAAGGCATTCTGAATAGAACCACCAGATTCATGTGGCACGAAATCACCACCTCTCATGCTGCCAAAAAAAGAGCGCGGATCTGACAAAACACCCTTCTTCAGAGAAGGGATATCTCCTTTAGATTCTGATTGAAAGTCAAACTTTAAGTCAATGAAGCCTGAATCATCCCCGCCAGTAAAATAACTCTCTTTAAGAGAAAACACACGCCTGCTTGCGGTACTAAAACCAGTATCAAGATCCAAGAGACACCCACCCTTTCTCGTAGCCTTAATATCAGCAATATCAGACTCCACGAAAGTACCGTCTCTTCTATCACTGTCAAAAGACTCAAGACCACTTTTTCTTGGTTCTGCTTCGCTGAATCCACTTTTCCTTTCAGGATCGAAACAGAGACCACCATTTGCACTAGAACTCCTGGCAGCTGAAATAGAACTCCTAGCCCCTGAAAAGTTCATCAAGTCACCTCCATCTTCTGATCCAAAAACCCCACCTCCCCTGAAACTACAAAGAGACCTGGACCTAGACACACCCATGTAATCAACAACCCACATATCGCTTTTCTCATCAATTCCACCAACACTCTTCCCACAATTGTCTTTGTCTCTCTTCTTCCTAAACAACCTTCCGATTCTCCAAAATCCATTCTTTCTTTTGATCTCAACGCAGCTACTGTTACTTCTCTTGAGAAAGAAAACTTCTTCAGATTTGTCTTCACTACTATTGCTTTTGGGCTTAGAACTTGGATTCAGAACATGATCCTTGTTTTCATTCTCTATCAAGAATGAGACCCGACCAACGCTGCCTACTTCAATAGTGCATGAAGTTCGAGGGTTGGAGGAGATCTCAGAGCAGGAGCAGGAAGATAGACGCTGTTCTCCACAATCTGAGCAAACTAACTTCACCAAACGATCCTTGAGACAATAAGCACATATTCCAACCGAAGATGATTGTGGATGTTTCTTACAGGGAAGATCTGATGAAGTGCTATAGTCTTTGAAAAAATTGTCGCTATATACTTCCACAGTTTTGCCTCTATCTTTCATGGCTTATAATTCCTTGAATTTACTATATGGGAACTCCAAACTTGGAAGATGGCTTATCAGAAAGTGTTACAAAGAATTCATAAAAACTGAAGCCACCAAAAACAAAACAGAGAAAGTGGGATTTTATGGGAAAAATAATAATAATAACATACTATAAGGATCAAATGCTAGCTTCGACAGGCTTACATACCAAGGCTGATAAACGAAGAAAAGAATCAAAATTTTGGGTCATTCAGTGAATGAAGAAAATCAAAAGTGAAAGTTGAAGTTGAAGAGAGATATAGAAAGAGTCCGGAAAGGTAAAGAGTCTAGGATTTTCATGTATGCAAGGTACAATGACAGTAAGGTACGTAGGTGGAATAGAAAGGCAAAGGCATTACAGAAAGCGTTACCTTTACGTTTTGTTTGCAAGAAAACAGTGACAAGCTGAAAAGCAGTGATGTAGAAAGCTGTATTTCCTGCAGGTATGATTGTGTAGGGAAAGTGAATGCAACACCAAAATTGAGTAAAGCAGTGAAACAGGTCAAATAGCAAAAGCTAGCTGCCTGCTTCCACAAATATTTCTGTTTCTGCATGCCAGTTGCACCCTCCACTGCCACTTCTATTTCACCCTGTGCTACATTACACAAATGCCCTTCAATCATATGGTCCAAACCCATCAATCTGCCATGTGTTTTTGTCAACCTTTTTCCCTAGATTTTCTTTACTTTCCCTCTTCAGTATTGACTTTTTCTCCTTGCTAAATACTAAATGTCACAATTTCTCTTATCAATTCCAACTGGGTATTATAGTGTATTTTCCTCATTTTCTTATGTTGTTGGATTCATGGGAGTTACCCGTTGTTTTCCTTTTAAATTGACCCATCAGATTTAATCAAACAAAGAGAAAGGAAAACAAAGCCATCGGGGTTGGTTTTCCTTTGAGCTAAACTTTTTTGTACATCAAATTTTGGAGAAAAATTTCACTTCGACTCCCAAGACAAGCTAGGCCAGATAATACTAACGGAAAATATTATGAAAATGACAATTTTACTAATTTAACCAGTCCTATCATCATGGGTTGTATTGTGCCAAACTCGAAATTATTTTTCATATTGAGATGAATTAAGTAAAATTTATTAATAATTTTTTAAAACTTTAATTTTTTTAAAAAAAATTATCTATTATTATTAAAAATAGCATGTATGAGATAAATAAAAGTAAAATGAAATAAAAAAAAAAAAACATAATTTACATTATTGACAAAATGCTTATATCCACTTGAGGGATAATAGAATTTACTAAATAAAAATATTAAAATTATAATCCTAATATTTAAAAAATGCACACATAGACACATCAATATAAAATATATTATAAAACTCAATATTATTATTTTATTTTTTATTCTCGTTATATGATAATTCACTTATATAATGAGTTTTATCTTATATAATATGTTTTATCTTATGCATTTATTTTATATCTTTCATTTTATAGTAATTTAGTTAATTGAATTTGTATTTAATTGGAAATCTTAATTTATTTTTATCATTTTATTTTTACTAATCACTAGTTAAATGTAATTTATCTATCAATAATTTAAATATTTAATAAAAAAATTCATTTAATATAATTTTATGTTATAAATTACCAATAAAATATCAAAAGTAATTATAATTTAATCACAATATAAAAATAACATAAATACACTCAAAAGCTATGAGTCCACTAATAACATTATAAGTCAACATGGTGCGACTAATCTTGTGTGCAGTACCAAGGTAGCCTATGTATCACATATTGGCACTAACCTTTAACGGGTCGTGCCATATTGACCCATAAATTTGAAATCTTTAAGTTTAGCATAGCACATATATATGTATCGTACTTGGTCTAATCCAACTACTTAACAGTGTATCGCGCCAAGCATGGCCTATACCATGTCGAATCGTGTCATGTCATGAGCCCTTAACCCATTTGACACCTCTAATCACTTGTTTCAAGACTTGAGAATCAATAACACTAGCTTCATCTTTTATTTTTAATTTTGATTTTGCACAAATCAAGTTTAAGAAATTGAGATGGATTTTAATTTTCATTGACTATATCTCTTTTCCTTAAATTACCCTTACTTTAACAAAATTGTAGATATAATTAAAAATAATAAAAATATATGTCAAATGAAATGTTATTTTGAAACAACTAAAACTAAGCAAATAAGATACGAAGAAGATATGAAGTAGGGTATAATCTAATTGACTTAAGCAATATAGCATAAAGAAACTCGATTGAACTGTATGGTTTTGTACTTCAACTTGGCTTAAAAAATAATGAAGCTTTTTGATGCAATCTCCATAATCCAAACAAAACAGAGTATAGAACACATAATAGGTAGAAAAAGAATAGAAAAAAAAAAAAAGAAGAACAGAAAAAGGATAGAGAGAGAAATAAATTCTTTACTCAATTCCATGCATGACGTTACAATTGCCGCTCACCACTATGTAATCTCTTCTCCACCCAAGAAACTTCGAAAGCACTAATTTCCAAACTAACAAACTTGCAACAAGCATAACAGCATTAACAGCTACTACGGGCTTACATACTTAAAGCCTCTATGGACTCACTTAGGCCTAGAACATAAAATTCTTATTTAATAGACTACCATAACTTTAACACCTATATCAATACCCTCTTGTTGAACATAAATAGGATGGTTACCAACATGTTGTTTAAGTTGGGACACATGAAAAATGGGAAGAACAGTAGATCCTAGTGGTAGTTTCAGCATGTATGCCACCTACCAACCTTCTCTAGCACTTGAAAGGGCCCAAACTATCTGGCAACCAATTTTAGACAACTCTTATTGCTAACACATTGTTGCTTGTATAGTTATATTTTGAAATAAACCCAGTCATCCACCATGAATTATCTTTCTCACTCTTCCCTTTGTCAGCCATTGTCTTCATTCTTCCTTGAGCTCATTGCAAATAAAACTTAATCAACTTAATTGCAACTCTTCTAGCTTGAAAACTCTTCCAATATAGCAACCAATGACTTTCTTACCAGATAAGGAAGATGCATTAAAGGTGATTGCCCATATACGACTTCAAAAGGAGAAGTGTGAATAGTTAAGTGATATGTGGTGCTACACCATTATTTGGTAAAGGCCAACCATTGGTTCCATTCTTTAGGTCTCTCACCAGTCGTACATTTATTGGTTTATTGATTGTAAGGCTAACCATTAGCTCCATTCTTTAAGTCTCTCACCAATCACACATCTGTTGGTTTATTATGCCATAGATCACATATTAACACAATCATATATCACACTGATCATATAACGTAGTAGAATAATTAAACACAAAATCAAGAGTAACTACAAGATCATACTTATGTTTTATATGTAATTTTAAAACTTTAAAACACGAATTTGTTTAAAATCATACCTAAACTCAAGATATCATAAACAAGAGTTGAATAGCTTTTGATTATGTCTAAAAATTGAAAAGCAGACAAAACTCTAGCCACATAATCATTTGGCCTCCAATGGCAACCCAACAACAATAACAATTGCCAAAACCTTCACAATGAGGGATTCTAAACCCGTACTAGTAGGTGTTTCAAAATGAAACCAATCCTATCTTGGTTGTATGCCTAAAGGTTATAAGATGGAGAGGAAAAAGATAATTTTTCTTGTACAACAAAAGAAGTCATATGGCTATAAAACTTGTGTTTTTGCAATTCTCAATTGCAATAGACTCTTTTCAAATGTCATGGGAAGTGCAGCTAGGGCTTGAAAGATACCTATTTATAATTTCTTTTCAATTCTCATTTTTATTTTTAAAGACGTAACATTTACATCTCTTGCAATTTAGTCCTTATAGACTTAATTCCTTTATTTCAATTTCTTTTAATTAAGTCTAACTTAATTGATTAATTCCATTTTAATTCGATAATGTTACTTTGTATGGGAACACTTGAATGAGATGTCAAATGAAGTTTTCATAACGAATTATGTTCAGTAAACTTGTTCCATAACAAGCACCCACATGTTATCCTCAAGCATCCCCATACTTTAACTTATAAGATCGATTACTTACTTTATAAATAAGGTGGCTTAACATGTACTCGTCTCTAAGTATTGTTGATGCCTGTCTCAATAATACATTGACTAGGAATAATTTAAATTCATGGCTTTTAGGCATAAAGATCTCATAATTATAACGTTTTACAATTCTTTTGCAAAGCCATTCTATTCAATGGGTTTCATCTAATTAGTACCTTGATAACTCTTTATCCATATGTATATTGATGAAGGAAAACCTTTTAATCACTAAAACATAGTGATTAATGTAACATACATATATGTCCTTTGGCTAACTAATTGGCTATAAGGCACATACATTAACAACATCCCAAGTTGGTTTTTGAAAAGCAATTCACTACCTCAGTTTGTCTATTAGTTTGATGGCAATAGGCTGTGGAGAATTATAAGGAAGTTCTAAAAATTTTGTCTCTGTGAGAAGCTATATCGGTATACCACGTAACTTAAAGACATGATCCATGAAAATTTGAACCAGTGTCAAAGTAGTAAAGGGATGAGCAATGGTGAGAAAATGAACATACTTACTTAACTTGTAAACTACTATCAGTATAACATCTTTCTCTCTAGACTTTGGCAAACCTTCAATCAAGTCTGTAATGATGTTAATCCAAATTCTATTAGGAATTGTGAGAGGTTAAAGTAGCCCTGACTTGCAAAGTTATCATACTTATTTTGCTGGCAAGTAATACACTCTTTAACCATCATTCTAACACATTTCCTCAATCCTTTCTAGTATAGCACGTTAGAGATCCTGTCTATGGTAGCATGTGTCTTAGAGTGACCACCAATTGGACTGTTGTATTTTGACATGCTCGGGTTAACCACGTCTTGAGATTTATAAAATCGTTAAGCGGCGCATTGTGGTCGTTTTCTGCCCGTGCCTTATTGCTACCAATTCGACTGATTAGCTGTTCGACCACGTCTGTTGGCGAAGGCAGTTTCTTTATGTCAGGATAGTTCCGTGCTTCCTTCAACATGAGAGGGTCTAGCAGGTCGGCTAAAGTTTGCTTTTGCTTTTTTATTTCCTCCAGCGTTTGCTCATACACTGCTTGTTCGACTGCGGGTACATTGAGATCAAAAGAAGGTTGCTTCGAAGAATTAGCACCACTTCGATCGTCTCCGACGGAAAGAGGAATTCTATCCTAGGCAGAAAGAAAAAAATCGAGCAAGTCGGTAAGAAATGGAGCAAAGAAAGCGGCTTCAAAAGAAAAGCCCCAGTTAGAGTCCAAAAGGATACAGCCAAAAGTATGATGTTACTGATAACCACTTTTTCAAAAAAAAAAGAAAAAAAAAATGCTGAAAAAGGTTCGATTCATCTTGTGTGATGGAAATTCGTATTCTTCGCGGCTGGTTCTGAACGCCATCTACTGTGGACTACTGAGATGCCTTTCATTGTCAACAGGGGAACGACCCCTATTATTAAATACGAATGACCTTTTATCCTTTTGTCTAGGTCTACTTCAATGAGCCTCTCTAGTCATTGAGTGAAAAAGACCTCCAAGTAA